AAATAAATATATATATACACATATATATATATATATATATATATATGCATAAATATATATATATAATATATATATATATCTATATATATATATATATATGCATGTATATATACTGATCTGATATTATTTATTAGTGTATCTCTGACAATATAAGAATTATTGTAACATTTTCTAGATCTAGGCTTGTATTTGGTAAATAATACGATGTTCAAATCTAGATATACACTTAATGTGGTGACATCCTGGATGTTTAGACCTTTATGTATCTGGTGTATGTAAAATCAAGATATAGAGAATACATACACGTGTAGGTACATTTATTATCGAGTAGAGGAACTTTCTTCGATTTCGACAAGTGAAAAATTGGGGTTTCTACTGTAACGAGAATGTTTTATGAACACATGCCGTATTTGACTTGTCCACATACCTATCTGCTTTTTTTTGTTCAACATGTAAGCCTGTGTAATAAGCCTGTGTAATGTGTGCGAAAATACTGCACTTGTACAAGATTGCTTGTTGTAAACGCAAACCTTATATACAAACCTTATATACTAACTTAGTAACATGTATTGCTGTACATTTTGTTGTGATAAATATTTAATCTGCATCCACCTGCACGAATTATAAACGCCAGTGTGCCTACCTATCCCATGAGCACACAATCAAAGTTTATCTATCCCATGAGCACACAATCAAAGTTTGTGTCACACCCAACACAAGACTTATTCACTGATTTTCGTGTCTATCGCTAACAGAAATTCAAGCCCGCGCCTATAGTGGAGAAAACCCTCATGACAATCGATAATATCGCAATGGTTTGGGCTCCGAATATTCTTCGCTGCCCGTCAACTGATCCTATGGTGATCCTCAAACAGTCCCAAAAGGAGCGAGCATTGTAAGTAGAATATACTTCACTATTTAAGTCTATACATTCTTGTTTCATAACGGTCCCAAAAGTGCGCATTGTGCTTGAAGTATACTTCAATATTTATGTCTATATATCCAGGTATTTTAAAATAAATATTCGGGGCTGTATATTTCTGATTGATCGTTTGACGATATGTTGTCATGGAAGCGCAATTTTGTGAATATATAAACAAGTAAAGATATACACTTTATGCGCATGTATATATCGGCAAATACTTAGTCTCAAATTAGATGTGCATATCGGCTATCACGTTGTGCCTTGTGTAGCTTCCAGTGGACAATGGATGAGGAGTCTTATAGATTTTGACTTTTGACCTAACATATGTGCAACCTCCATTCCAAAGCAGACGCAATATATTTTAACAACAATGTCTATCTATTATATTTTCTAACAGCGTCGCTTCATTAATAACGCATATGGATGCTCGGGAGTACACACTTCTCCGATAGATTATATTACAGTGTGTTTTTTTTAGATATGTAGAACAAACGCAAACGGAAAGTGAATGATGCATTTTTTGTCAGCTGGTGGCCTGATGCCTCACTGGGAGCCACTGCCTCCTGACAGTCAGCGCCTACAAAGGCTGCGGCCTGTCGGTCCAACTCCCCGCTCTCATTCTCGCTCCCTCTCTACTCTAGAAAGTAGTAAATAGAGAGAGAGGGAGTAGGCGCCTGGACGGCTGGGTTCTCTAACAAATAATATTAATTCTTCTGGATTTTAAATTCTTCATTCTCAAAAACAAATCTTGAAATCTCAAATCTTAAATCTGAGATATCACAAAGGTTCAATTCACAATTGACTGAATTGAAAATATTTTATCTTAATAGGTCTCTTGCCCTTCTTGTCGTGAACATAAAAAACAAAATCGAAAGAAGTTCTTTTTTTTTGTATATTTAGTTTTATAGAAGAAGGCTACATATGATCAATTGATTATTGATTTTTGTTCTTTACAAAAACTGTAACACACCAATTGTTCGAGATTTGTTTAGAAAAAACAAACTTGAAGTTATTATTTGCTTTAAAAAAAACATGTTAAATATTATAGTAAACTTCCCTACAAAGAAACACCCATTCTCATTTCTCTCGTTTATATTTACTTTTGCGTGTATTGTATTATTTCATTTTTTAAATATACACCATATACGTAGGTTGAATTTTAAAACCAATACAGCATGAGTAATCCGCATTTTGAGACAGCTCCCAAAACGGTTCTACACTCTACCTACAGTCTACAGTCTACTCTACAATGAACAATCTGCAGGCTACACCCCTTGAAGAAGAAAAATACAAAGTTGATTTTTCTATGTAACCCAGAGACTGAGAGTGAGATACTGTCTTTTTTATATTTTAAACATATAGCTCTCTCTAATATAGAGACAGAGAGTCTCTCTCTCTCTCTGAGCGAGAGTCTGATGACTCGATGAGACATATATTTTGTTTTGTTTTTAAAACAAAACATATATACATATGTATAGATATATTTTTAGAAGAAAAATAGGAGTTTTTTAACAAATTTTTACCACAATAAAGTATAGGTCAAAAGAAGAGTAAATATGTAGGATAATTTTTAAAGAATTTAGTAACGGTTCTATTGAATATGTATAAATTTTTATTTACATCCTTTGTTCGACAGACAGTCAGCACCGCAACACACAAGGGAATGCAAGGCCTAACTGGCAACTGCCCAAGGCTCGAGCTTTCAAATTCGAGGGCCCGAGCGGCGGCCGAGGCCCGAGCCCCGAGGTCCCGATCCTGCCCGCCCTGCTGCCCTGCCCCGGCCCCCGGCATTGACGAGTAATAAACACATACCTAATCTTATCCCGATCGGGCTATTGGTTCAAAAGTTACAGAGAATTCGGTTTGAACCAGAGTTGGGTCAAACCAGCTAAACATGAGCACTATATAGGTCCGTTCACACCTATCAGACATCCTTGGAATCAAAGTATGTTGCTCCTATACACTTTGAGATGATATATGTCCGTTCATAGCACCTCTGGACATATCTATCGGGTACTTCGTTTCCTTCCTGGTATAATTTGTACCAGGAAGGAAATGAGGTACTCGCAAGAAATGTCCAGAGGTGCTATATATGGACATATATCATCCCAAAGAGTATAGGAGCAACATACTTTGATTCCAGGGATGTCTGATAGGTGTGAACTGACCTATATAGTGCTCATATTTGGCTAGTTTGACTCAACTCTGGTACAAACTAAAATCTCTGTAACTTTTGAATCAATAGTACGATCGGAATGAGATCAAGTATGTGTTTATTATTCGTCAATGCGAACAAATTTTACTATTTAGTGACCAATGGAATGTATTTGTTAATATACATTTGGGTCAACCTCTATAGTAAAATCCCCGCCGGTCTTGAGGTTTATATGTAAACAGATTCTCTTTAATCCCATTGATCAAATGTTTTTATTTCAAAATGAGCATAAATAGTAGACGATTAAGTTACTAACATATCTCTAATTCTATAGCTCTAGCTTAGGATATCTTTTGTGTATTATTCACTAAAATGTGAAAGTTCTGCAGTATGTAGAATCCTTCAACCAGAGAGTGCTGTTAATATATCTGGTCTGAAGTTTTCTGCCATCTAATAGTATATTCCGGATCTATTCTGGCCTCTGTCCTTGGAGAACAGTAAAATATTTTTTAGCGAAAGTGATTCTATATTGGTTAAATGTTTTATATTGTTGTGTATTTTTATTATTTTAAATTTAAGAATTTAAAAATGCTATTTATACTGTATTTTTTAAAATACATCAAGAGGCCTAAAAAGGCATGTATTAATAATATTTATTTATTTTAGTCCTCTTCTTGGTTGTGTTAAAAAAAAATATTTCGACATAAATATAAATATTTTAAAATATATAAATATATATATATATATATATATATATATATATATATTATAACATCTGCGAGCGTTTACCTCTATTTACATCCTAAATACTAGCAGATTGACTTTACATTGTCGCCTGTTGTATAACTAAGTGGATTTATATATGATGAAGTTACTTATTGTGCTATGTGGATTGATCGCCTTTTTAAGATCAGCAGAAGCTGGTTCTAGTTCATCTAGTTCCTATTACTGCAGATCTCCGTGTGGCAAAGCAGGTTATGGGTCTTATGTGAATAGTAATTGTGATTACTCGAGTTGTTCCATGTCAAATAACGACCAGTGCTCGCCTAAATGTGAAACATGTGGCAAATGTGTAGCACGAGCCATGTTCAATGGTGTAGACCACGTTAAAATCGATACTTCGGATTGCTTGGGGGGTGTTCCCTTAGGATGGATGGCGCCGACCGGTCCAGCAGATTTCTGTCGTGGTTTTTCACCGGCTGAGAAGAATAACACCAAGGTACACGCACCAGCAACAACAGGTGTGTGGTTCAAGGTAGATTCGGGCACTCCAGATTCCATATCAGTCGATAAATACTCTGCGAAGTTCACTTCAAATTGTGGATGGAACTGCGATTTCAGTGGTCGATCGTGGGCCTATGGACTCTATCAAACAAGGGCAGAAAGAAAAGGGGTATGTCGACAGCATATCGCACTGGATGGTGTGTGCCAGCGATCCAGTTGTGGTGATGCGAACTGTCAGAACGGGTATACAAGTGGCCAGACCGCAAGTTCCGTTTGTTTTGGAACCGGATGTTCCGAAACCTGCTGTGAGCCCGCACCTGCGGATAAGACCTGCGCCGAGGAGAAGGCGTCAAATAGTTGCGATTCTGATTATACATATGACTCCGAACAGAATACAGTCCTGGTCACTGACGTATCGAAATATAACGACTTTTGCTGCAAGCCCATTCCGACCTGTGCACAGAGTCGCACAGATCTCAGTTATGAGTGTGGAGAAGGCCGTAGTTTCGACACCGCCGCTTCGGATGAGCTATGTGAGACGCGGGACCTATACTCCAGTGTTTGTTGTAAGGACGCTCCTACTACACCTACTTGTGCGGAAGCGACCGATCCTGAAGTTTACGAATGCGAAGACGGGTATGTACGGAATGACCTGGCAGCTGGTGTGAGCGTAGAGTTTCCCATCGACTTCAGCCAGCTTTGTTGCAAGGATGGCCCGTGTCAGGATAGCAATGACAAGTACATCTTGGAGGTATTCAAACAGTGTGGAGCGGCTATAGAATAGTATGTTTAGAAAGTCTGAAATCGAGAACGTTTTCTGGGTACATTAACGTCCACATTAAAAGTATTCTGGCAGCAAGGACTTGTGAACTTGTAAATACTAAGTGTATTTGTATCCATCGACGAAGCGTGTATGTATCCCCGAGTTCATACTCTCAATAACTACATCAGAAGTGTTATTTTCCGTTAGTCTGCGTTGATGTTTTCTCTCAGAGTAATACTCGACAACCTATCCGATGTAAACCTCGTTTCATCTCAAGTTTGAGAATTCGGCTTGAGCATAGGCGGGCATAAGAAAAATATATATCAATAAACCCAAATACTCCGCATTTTAGTCGGCTGGAAATTTGACAAAAGCCAATAAAGAATATAGCCTTTACGAAAAGCCCCATTCTAACGTGCGGAGGCTGTTGCGCATTACTACAATATATGATAGTACTTTTCCACCGATATACAGTTACTTATGGTACTACTACTAGGATAATACACACCTATAATCTGTATCCAAAGCATTGTTTCAATTACAGCCTCACGTGCAAGGTTGTTCTTATATATATATATATATATATATAAAGATCTATATATGTATATATGTGTATATATATATAATATGTATGTATGCATGTATGAATGTATATATGTAAGCATGTATGAATGTATATATGTAAGCATGTATGTATGTTTTCAATATGTATGTATGTATGCATGTATTGTACTTATGAATATATGTATAGGTATATGTTTAAGTCTAAATATATAAGTAGAAGTATTTGTAAATTTATGTGTATATGTATATGTATGTGTATATGAAAATGTTTATATATATATATATATATATATTATGTGTGTGTGTT